GCTGAGATTAAAGGCATGTGCCAGCACTGCCCAGCGAAGTGACCATATTTTAAGAAGGAGCCTTTGCCTAATAATTTTAAAAGAAATATACCATTTTTGTTTGTTTGTTTTTGAGACAGGGTTTCTCTGCGAAATAGTCCTAGCCGTCCTGGAACTCTCTTTGTAGACCAGGCTGGCCTCGAACTGCTTTTCTCTCCTCTCGAGTGCTGTGATTAAAGGTGTGTGCCACCACTGCCCAACTCATAACAATATTTTCCAACAAGGAAGATGCATCACAGCCAAGTGTGGTGGCACAGGCCTGTGATCCGACTTCAGGGAGGCTGAGGCAGGTGAATCGAAAGTTCAAGGCCAACCTGGTCTGTGTAGTAAGTTCTAGTCGGGCCTGAATTAAACAAGATCCTACCTCCAAATAAACAAGCAAAATAAAAGATACATCATAGCGACACCGTCAAGGAACTGGTCCAGGGGCTGTATTCTAGATGGAGAGACCCTTCATCATCTGCAAATATGGTTGTCAGTCTTCAGCCGTCTGCTTCTCGTCCTCACTGATGGGAACCTTGACCTGCCAGAGGAGGCTGACTAGGCAGCTCTCTTCTGCGGGATCCAGGGTTGGATCTCACCTCAAGAATACTGAAGTAGAGCCAAGAACAAGGACACAAAACCCAACATCTATTGCCCCCCTTTCACGTAGTATGATTCTAGCCCGATCCACCCCCAATTAATTCTGAGTAACAAATACTGGCAGTCTACAGACTGACCGGTTCTTATACTGCTTTTCTTGTCCTCTGCTATCTGGGGACCTGGCTGTGCCACAGCTATAACTGAGGTCTGAGATAACCGAGGACTTGTGTCGGGGTGATGCTGTACTAGAGCCCTGCATCTGTCACCCCTCGATTCCACCAGAGGAGACAATCCCTCCCACACAACTGTTTGATTTCTGGGGTCATTCCACACCCTTCCTTTGGCTAGAGGATAGAGATAACCAGAAAACCCAAGTGGGACCTTTGCAGTGTTTAAGTCTCCAAAATGCTATCAATGCGGATTTTAGAAGGCTCTCTAGACTGTGGACTACAGCGTTCTATCTCAAGTTTTCAAGGATTTGGTTAAATAATTCCCTAACTGTCAGTCAGAATATAAGTATTTAGAACTTACTACGACCCCAAGTTCAATCGTTTTAATATATGTGATTGGCAACTTTAAAGCTCAGATTTTTCAGTTTCCATCCAAGAGGTGGCACCGTGGCAGCGCGGTAGAAATGGACAAGTCCCTTGCCGATCCTCGTCAGTTCACCTGTCAGAAGTCCCTTCCGCACTGCTGTTCTCACACACTTGGCTCCTCTCGTCTTTCCAGAGATGTGCTTCAAGCTTAGATCCTTTTATGCTGCAAGTAGTTTCTCTCAGGACAGAGTTGGCTGAGGGCCAGCTGGGTGCTGAGCAGTCCAGGTGAGGGCCGTGGAAGAGAGCAGGAATGGAAGCCATCTACTCCACAGCTTTCAGAAACCCCACTAGTCAGTGTTTCCGACGGAGCAGGACAACTAGCAGGTCCCTAAAGTGCCAGTCTATTTGACTGAAGGACACACCCACCAATCCATAGGCTGTGTAGGCGGGTCTTCTGAGGAGAACATTCTGTCCGTTTGAGAAACCTACAGTGCCCTCATTTGAAGGCGTCTTAGGCTGGGATTACATCCAGGGAATCCCCAAACTCCAAAGTTAGAGCCTCTTTAGTCATTTCCACGTGAAAGTCACCTGTGATGTGCCCCGCTGTCACAGGGGCTTCCAAATTATGGCAAAGCCTCAGATCCCTGGAGGTCAGTGGCACAGAGAAGACTACGGAAGGGCATTATCAGTAGAGCAGCAGCCTCTAATCCTGTTCTAAAGCTGCACTGTCCTCGTGGGAGCTGCCTGCCGCATATGATGCCCGCTCACTTCAGGTCACAGTGAAGCATCTGAAGCAGGTCTAACTGGATTTAAAAAGAAAGGGCCAGAGGGCTAGCACTTAGGATCCCATGCCGCCCTTCCAGAGGATCGAGCTCAGTTCCCAGCACCCACATTTAACTCCAGCTCTAGGGGAAGTCCAACACCTCTGGACTGGGGCACCCACACTCACATGCACCCCCCCACACATACACACACATGATTAAAAACAGTAAATCTTTGAAAATAATAAAAAGAAAAGGACTCATCAGAGAACTAAAGACCATGCTGGAAACAAAATAACAGGTTGAAAACATGAGGCCAAGTCAGAGAAGCCTGGACAATGGAAAACTCAGCTGTGGAAGCCAAAGGAAAAGCAATGCTTACGTGTTTAGAATCCCAAAAGAGGGTCAAAACCTGGAACCAATGGTTGAAGACATAAGGAAATGCCCAAGAAAGAAAAGAGGAAGTGACAAAAAGGTGCAGTGTCCTGGGTGACAAAGGTTCCCTGACAACCAACAGTGAAACATCCTAGTAAAAGCCGGGATTACGAAGACTGAGACACTTGTGACCAATCCGACAAAAAGCTGAAGGTGGACCAGTGAGATCTTTCAGTGCAGTGGTTCTCAACCTTCCTAACATGTGTGCCCAATCACGGGCACATCCAGTGCTTCACCCACTCACCCACACAGTACCAATGTCAGGGTTAAAACACTTCTTAAAACTTTGAAGTCATAGGGGGAAAAGCACTATAATAATTTTTGCATATTGGCCACCTTCATGACCAGACATCTGGCAAACACTGCCTAAGAAGGATTATTTCAATTCAGTTTGAGGGTACAGTCCGTCATGGTGGGGAGGGCAGAGCAGCAGGAGCTCCAGGCAGCCGGTCATACTGCACTGTAGTCAGGAAGCAGGAGATGAATGGTCGCATTCAGACATTTCCTCCTTTTTATGCAGGCCAAGGCGCCAGCCCAGGGCATGGTGACACCCACATTTGGGGTGGAGCCTCCCACTTCAAGGAAAATACAAATATCATTTACATGTTGCCGATGAGCATGTGACTTCTAGTGTTTTAAGTGGTATCCTTTAACCTGACAATTCTCCTTTTAAGAGTACTTTCCACAGAGCACCAAATAAAAGCACTAAAGGGTATGTGTACAAAGGTAATCCAGCACTGTTGGCATGTGGAAAACAAGATAATTCAGCACTGTTGGCATGTGGAAAACAAGGTAATGTAGCCCTGTTAGCATGTGGAAAATGAAAAAAGAATCCCCAAGTATCTACCAAGAAAATAATCATTTTAATCAATGGCAAGTCTTTACTATATTATTAAAATTAAATCATTAGTTTTGAATCTGTTATTGACCTAGAGTGATATCTGTTGTAGTTTGTTAAGTGTATGAGGTGTGTGTGTGTGTGTGTGTGTGTGTGTGTGTGTGTGATCTCACTTTGGTAAGAAAGGAAGAAATATGTAATTTCTAGAAATCTGTGTGGCCATGATAAAAGAATATATGTTTGGGTGAAGACTACTAATTTTTATACCACCTCACTCAACGTTTATTTTGTATATACATGGAGTATACATTATTAAAGAAATGTAAAAGAGGAAAACGATCACAAAACAACAAACTGCTCTGGCTTTAGCAACGAGACCAGCTTGTTTACCTCATTCAGACAAAGGCTGGCGACTTTGGGGAGTTAACGGCGGCGGCACTAGCGGTGGAAAAACACCATGAGATCATAATCACATCCTCCCCAGAACTGGCCTCAGGAGATGTCACTGAAACCCAGAGAAA